TCATGGAAATGATTTCATTCGCGTGGCGTCAGAATCTCGCGATTCATTATACGTGGCGCCTCTTAATAATACTAGATAATCTTTTCTATTTCTCAAAGATCTTGTTATATAAAAGGCGTTTTTTTATATGCACGTGTATAAAAAATATATTATCGTCTTTCCGTCTCGCGCAGCAAATTACAGGAATGACGTTCACTTTTATAAGCTCGATTAAAATTCAATTTGACGTGCATAAAAAAAGATAGAAGCAAATCGAGCGGGCAAATCAGCGATGAACGCCGTTCATTGTGTCACGCTTGCCGTGCGGCAAGTAAAGACGTTTTGAGAACTCACCGATGATCGATGAGTCACGATGGATCATTGGATCCAAATGCGATTACGATATACGCACGCACGTCCGATCGATACCTACATTCGGCGTACACGCCCCTTGAAAGAAATTCAAGATTTCTCGCGTGATGGTGTCACATCAATATTTTAGTGTTCGTCGCCTTTGTGCGTCCGCTTTCATTTTCACTTATTATGCGCATCATCGAGCGCTATTTCTGTCCGTAATCCGGACGACGGATGTTATTAGACACCGTCCGGCATGCTAATTAATTGTCGTCTGCTCATCCATTAAAACTGTCGCGATAAATAACTCTTTGAAATTCTGCCAAGACTAACAATAAGTTGCCGAAAGTTCTTTTTTATACGTTGTGAATATTATTAGAAAACAATAATCTCTTTTTAAAAATAATTAATTTAAAAGAGAAGTGTTATAACTGGCGAAGTGATCAAGTATATAGTCGGCTAAGAATAATTGATCTTGTCATTTTTAACATAATTTGTGAACATCGTCTAGAATCTCATGACAAGCATCGTGGATTAATCAATTGATCGCGACTAACAAAAACAGACTTTTTCAACAGCAGAACACGATGGAATTAAAGCGTATAAAATTGTTCTAGCTTGAAATACATCTTAATTTCTCTTTCGTTTCTGATAGATAGATGGCAAAAAATAAACTGAAGACAAACGCGTTTTCTTATATTTTAAACTGCTCGCGTAGATCGTATGGCCTCATAAATTTTAATCATTGCCTCATCTGTTTTTAGAAAATTAGACTATCTGGTGTTCTCGCTCGACGGGAGACGCACGCGCTGTGTGTGTATATATATAGCATTCCTTTAGTTTTCAGAATGTCAAACCTAATATTTTTCTTTTATTAGCCCAGCTTCTTGGCGCTGCTTTCTTTAGAGCATGCTGAATGGAACATTGATAACATGAATAAAAGCGGTCGACATAAATTGTTTCGTGAAAATTTTTCATTTATCTTAAATTTTTTCTGCTTGTTTTTGTAAGACATATTGTAGGACTTTCATGTAACACATATTTGTCAGAATCTTAAATTGGCACATTATCTGTCATTTTTGTAGCTAATAAAATTGCAACAACGTAAAATTTTCCGTGTATAATATCATATCGAAAATATATCACATCAAATCTTGTGTGTGTATTTTCACAACCGATGCTGCAAAAGAAACCATTTTACAAGAAACAAAGATTTTCTTTTGTCACGAAGATTAGAGATTCGATTTTCCTGCTTTATCTTTAATAACGTACGTTCTCCTGAATGAAAACAGGAGCACAACGAGAGTTTATCGCGAACGCACCGCAAGAGAGGAAACAATAGTTTTCTTGACTCATCGCGATCTTCTTCGATATAAAGGAATAAAAGGATCGTTTAAAGCTAGATATATAAGGAATGTTTTCCGGTGAATAAATCCGCGCGAGGCGCCGCACAATAAAACGTATTTATCCTTGCCTCGAGATAAATTTGTGGAAATTGGATTTGAACACCGCGCACGATTTCCATCCGCTTTGGGAAACGCGTTTAATTTTGCAGTTTTTTGCACGAGAGAAAGAGCTCGCGCAGTCGACAAGTAAAAATGGGGAACACGATTCTCCGCCGGCATTATACATCGCGCTGAAGATTATTTTCGCGGATCCCGTAATCTCGCGCCGCTGTAAAACAAATAAAAACCGCCCGATTACGATAGAATTTTTAGTCGTGGTCAGATTAAGTCAATGCAAAAATCACATCGCATTGTGCCGTATCGTATCGCGGACGTATCTCGTTCGATTCGACGCGCGCGATTCAATCTGTCATCAGAACAAAAATTGCCCATCTTTATGGTCACAGATATATCGCAGATTGGTGTTCGCGGCTGCGTGGTGCTCGCACGTCAGCGAACCACTCTATCGAAATCACGCGACCGTAAATCAGCCGGAGAATGTACAATGCCAATTTATCTGTTTCTATGTTCCTATTGCAGTGCCTTGCCGAAACATTCATTCACTCGATGACTAATACAAATACGATAGCGCGTATCATGCGTCTGTGTGTGTATGTTGTTATTGCATTTCTATAGAAATACCAGCCGGCAAATCGATTGATCGAGATAATTTAAATATTTTATTAAATAGTTTTTTCTCTTATTTGTTTTATATATATATATTTGCATATAATTAAGTCTACGTGTGCGTATTTTCTATCTCGAAAGAGATATCGTTTTCATGATATTTCTCAAGTCGTCCAACGTTGCAAACTTCGCGAACGAATCAAATCCGATTGTATGACTTCAAAAAGAGAGACGACTCGAAAGAACAAGACGGAAGATGGTCCTAAAAATTCTCATTTCTAATACGACGCAGAGTGCAATTGCGATTGATCGACGAGCGGCTGTTAAATATTGACGAGGTAGACGGTAGATGTAAAAAGTAGTGGTTTCCGCGGGAAACGGAACGGGGTGGATACAAATGAGGCTGCGGGGATGAGCAGCGTTATCTCGCATCCTGCGGGAGCTATTCGTTCCGGTGCCGCCCCTTTCCCTACCCTGTGCCACCGACCCCGCTATCACCACCCCCTAGGTGCCCCCCTGCCTCTCTCATAACCCCCCTTTTGCATCCGCTTTTGATAAGAGGAACGCGAAATCCCGAAGCAGACCGATTCTTTTAATAGTTAGTCGCAGATTGTAATTGCCGCGGGGCAATTCTGGGAGAGTTGATCGAATTTGAAACGCCGTGAAAAGTGTGCTAACAGAAAATATGAAATATACTTTTTGCTGAGAATATTATGAGCGAGTAAGTAATTGTTCAATATGTTACGCAAGAGTAAGTGCAAACTGGAATCTTGCGTTAATTCGTCCTTATTACAAAGCAGCGCGTCATTTTATTACTCTTCATAAAAACGGCTGGTGTCAGATTAAATTTTCTTTGCGTCTGTGGAACGACGTCGCAAGTTATGAGATTCTCGCGAGACGAAAGACGCCGAGAGACCATTTCAAAGGAAGACAATGAACTAATTATGCTCAAAGACACTTCCTTTATTAACTCTTTTTCTTAGTCGCGCGAAATATTTATCTCACTCATTCGAATATACAAATTCAACTGCGAACTTTTTAATATCTGAAAACATTTGAATTGGTTCATTTGTGTTGATTGTGAGAATAAGTAGAGACAAGTAGATATTGGAACAGTAAATTCTAAGTAGAGCGAGAGAACACATGTGAGATTACGGGATTGCGGCATGTCTGACCATACGTCGGCTTTACTACTGCGGAGGTGAGCAACTGGCGGTTCTCTCGTCAGGAAGGGGAAGTGAAAAATCCTCAGATTCCCTCAGGAATCGTCGAGGTATCCTTATAAAACTGGCAGATTAGGGTGAGACGTGACGAGAGCGCGGAATCCGCTCTGAGTATTAAGCATCCCGACGATGCGAACAAAGCATATTGTATAGTTGCATCTAAAGATAGACAGCTAAGATCTAAATAAATTATTGTCTTTATAAGCTTTAACTAGAAGTTCTTATAATATACAATATATATTAGAAATAATAGACAAATCATCGTTCTAAACATGTTTTTAGCCAATTGACAAGTTGCATAATGACGAGTCAAAGGTCATTCTTCCATTACTAAAGAGCGTGACATTTTTCAGCGTGACTTTAAGCAATTAAAGTTTTTTTCTAAAAACAAAAAAATATCGGACTAATTGCTTTTGACTTTGAAGCAATAGAGACAAATAGTGAGCACTGTAAAGGTTAAAAAAATTACTCGATCAATATTACAGTCGGTGGACTACGTTCATCGGTTCATAAATTATCCAATTGAGTACCTTACACTTTTAAAAAGAAATATCGGAAACTCAAAGAGAATACAGAATTGAAAAAGAGACGTTTCTTACATTGTAAAGATTTGTCTGGAATAATAAATAAGAAAGATATATCTCTACGTGTGAAAACATATTTTAGATAATTATATTCATACAAACGGTTTATGTTTTCACATGAATGATATTGGAGGCGAGATTATCTAGCGAAATTAATCAGATATGTCTATTCAATATTATTATTATTATTTTGTTATTATTATTGTCACGTGCACACATATATCCGCTATTATGTACATATATATATAATATTCAATACGTAGATATATACTCTCTGTATGTGTAACACTTCCCATCACATTGCCGTTTATAATAAAATATAATTTGGTATAGTCTCATTAACATATTTTATCATAAATACGTTTTAGTATAGAGGATGTTGGTTGTATCTGTCATATATAATTAAAATCGTCGCGCATGACGTTTCGGTCGCAACGTATGTAAATTCATGCACGTCCACGACAATTTGTCTGCTGCCCTTATCGCGCGATATCATTATTCACCGCTTGACTAAATACATTCCGTATTTAACATAGTAATAAATCACCAGTCACGTAAGGCGAATCGTAATGGCGAGCGCGCAGAAAGGGAGCGAAGCTGAGAAAAAAGCTGCTGAATATTCGCGCAAGGTATCTCGCTCGGGAAGAATTCCCCAAAGAGAATATTGCAGCGAATCGTCAGTGAGTAAGACATCCGAAGAGACAGAGACGTACAAATGGCTACGAAATCCCCGCGCTCTGTCGCCGCAAGAGTCCATTAGCGCTAAAATTAACTTCGCTGAAACTTACCTTTTTTCTCGCCGAAGAAGTCCGCGCGGCCGCATATCGCGCATAGCGCGACGAGGATCGCCAGTACCAATCTGGAAACAATTATGAATTTCATGTTATTTATAAAATCGCAGTTGTATCGTTCAGCTGTGATTTAAATAAAAGAATCAGAGCATCAAATAAATCAATAAAAACAGACCTAGCTTTGAATAAGTTACCAAAAGTAATGAGTAATATTTAATAAGATTTTATAATTTAAATCACTAAATATATGTAAACAAAAGGAGAAGAGAAAGAGAAAGAAAGAGAGAGAGAGAGAGAGACGGTAATATTATATATAATTACAATGAACGTAAGTTTGCGTATTAGCACGTCGTTGACATAAATATAGTGGAGACATGCTTTACTTATTGTAACAGGTCGCGAGAAAATGTCCTCTGATTACCAAAGACAGGCAAACATTCCGACAGCTAATTGTTTCGTTATTTTAACATTATTGTCAAGGGTATAGCTGGCACAACTAATACTAATTAAAATAGGGATGGAAAGCGGAATGTCGAGAACGGTTGGTGCAAGAACGGTTAAAACAAAGGCGAAGGAAGATAGTCTAGCAAGGGATAACGCTCTGGTGCTAGAAAAGCTACGTGATCCCATAGAAGGAAGGCAATGAAATTAGCGCTAGAGAGAGCGATACGGAATAACAGCGTTGTTCTCAAAAGAGAACAATAGACGCACCTGCTTTGTTATAACCAGGTTGGATTATATTCGGATTAAGAAAAGTGGTCTTCGGTATTATATCAAATTCTTCTTTGACACCCTCGTACTTTTACAGAAATTGATTTTATAACACGAAGTGCGATCGCAACTCTCTCAGAGAATAGATCGCTATTCTCCGCTGAATCAAAAATCTCACGACATTAAATATGCGCACGTTTATTCAATCCATCTTTATATTCAATACACCGCGTGAATAGCGTGTTTCGTAAAAACAGATCGTGACTCGCTCGTCTACGCGCGATAAATCTCGGTCCGTCTTTCTTGCAGGTCACTCGTTATTTCTCGACTAGACTAAGGTCAGTGGAACACGGGAAACTTGGTAAGTGTGACGCGCATTTGCATCTCGGCTTGCACAACAGCTGGCGTCGCACGTGGGCGTAGTCCGTACGTCGATTGTGATTCACGATCGAGAATTCCGGCCTTGCGTAACGATTGCAAACGCGAGGACGGCCGTGCCCGTCGATTTCGATTTCCATTTAACAAAGCCGTCGACCCCGCCTCTCTCCCTTTCGCATTCAACAGGCAAATGTTGACAAACGATTGAATTATCGTTGCAATCCGAAGTAATCGATAAACTCGCATTCTGAATAATATAAAATAGTGGCGATGTTAGAGAAAATTTGTTTATCGCTGTTGACATGTGTAATATGTGAAATTATTAATCTGAATTGTATTACTTGTATTTTGTAAATCTTGCTCAATTTAAGGTCAGACACAAAAAATATTAACTTCTTGAATATCGTTATTAGCTAAACATCTCAAAACAGCAATGATCTCAGCAACGACGTTGTTTAGAAAAACGTGTCACGATTAACTTATCACAAATCTTGATTGCTTTTTGTATAAGATCATTAAATATTTTTAGATCCTCATACAAATTTCATGAGAGTCCACTGCTTTCACGGAAGTTTAAAAGGTTACGCAGCGTTTCGTTGAAGTTTATGACGTTTTATAAGGTCTCGTGAAATTTCCGAGGTTTCGTAGAACGCGCAAAGATTTTACGGAGCACAAAAAATCACATCACACTTCTCGTAGTCCGTAAATATTGTATATCTTTGCTACATTTTATTTTGATAAATATTATAAAATTATTTTATTAAGTGATTATTAAATATTAAGTGAGATTATTAAATCACAAAACAGTTGAGAGCAACTAAAATTAGTACGATGTATTGAAAATTAACCTGTGAGAATTAACATTATTGTTCTTAACGCGCGCACTGTTGAGTAGAAGAATGTAAATTGTTCTACTATTATAATATCTGACTATTATGTAAAATAATATAATACACGCAGTTTATATTTCCGCTTTATTGAACACTTATATAACGCCAAACATGAATCTCTCTGAATATCACATACTCCGGAATTATACCGCACTTTATTTCCTTTGATAAGAGAGTATCAGTACTTGTGCATGACATCATCGAGAGAGTACCGCAAGAAGGAGAGACTCTTCTTTGAAGAAAAAGAGGAAATAAATCTCAACGCGGACGGAAAGTGGTCGTAAAAAACAAAATAAAGAAAAAGCATGGCAACAGTGCCGAAATGATAATCATACACTTATTTAAATAATATATCATGTAATAATATTTATAAACACATAAATTTATCATTGTCTTATTTCGTGATTTGGCAAGAACGAGATAATAATATCAAATTTTTCCGTTCATGAATTGCTCCGAGTTTAGTCAATTACGATCATTATAAATAAAAGAAAGAGTAAGGCGTGTAATTTCACAAACGTTGGAATTGTTCGAGCACCGTTTGCAGCAGAACGCTGCAGCATCATAAGTAAGTCTCTTCGTAACAACGGGACGATTCACAAAATGAGAATGTGGGGGTCCTATCGTCGACGATAATGACGACGAATGATGACACTCCATTAACCCAGTGGCCCGAGTAGCGATATAAAAGAGAATTAAAAGAACCAAGTTCGGTCCAATGTGTACATGTGTATGTACGTGAAAGCTCGTGGAACACGTGTACTGGGTGGCAGTGGAATAATTAAGCGAGTCGACGACATCACCGCCGACGTCGACGTCGAGAAGCTCGTTAATGAAGCGATGTGCCGAGGGCCCTTGCAAGTCGACGAAATTCGAGGAAACTCAAAAAGAACGAATGATTTGAGTGCGACGTATACGAAAGAGAGAGAGAGAGAGGAAGTGTTGCTAATGAGTTAACCTTGCTTTAGGGCTGTTTCTGCTTGTTGACAAGTGCATTGATTTAGAATGGAATACCAAGTTCTCTCCAAGTCCTTTCGTCGAAAATACAAGCAATAAATTTATACAGTATACTTTCTATTGAAATTTATATAATTTTAAAAGACAATTTTAAAGCATACAGAAACATTGTTCGGATAGTCGGAATATATTATAGAGAAAAAACCGGATCTTAATCTTGTTTATAACCTCGCACTTCTATTACGTCAACATAATTTATGATGAAAAATTGCACGGCATAGAAAAGAAAGCAGTGTGTACTAAAATCCGTGTCGATCATTAATTTTCTGAGGAACCGCCATGACGCGTGAATACTATACACAAACTTCATCCGGGAATTATATTTATGTTCTATCACCATATACTACATTATAAATCTATGAAAAACATTATAAAACGTACAACACTTACCTACGAGGTTTTAAAATAAATTTTAAAGGTTGCGCAATATTCGCGGTTATATATTTCGATACACATGCAACTTTACATGAAATGACTAATAATTTTGTAAGAGTAATTTCGTGAGTGCGTGTACAAGCTCTGACGATGTTTGTATAAAAATTTCATAGAAAAACAGAAAGCGGTCTCTCTCTTTGATGTCACGTTCCCACACAGACATAACGTTCCCTGGACGTGTCTGTAACTTTATGTGACGTCTAATGAACATCTAATGAATGGTTTATATAGAATGTTGAATTCTTTGTGAATTCGCTAAAAATAAAATCAGATACTCTTTAAATATGAATAGCAAAAAACCGCGATCAAAAGTTACTTAGCATCCAGAAGAGAAGCTTCAATGGAGAAGAGAAAGAATAGGCAGAAATAGATGGTGTATTCCCATTTCATCACGATTTTGCGATTAGCGCATGACTGCGGAATCTCATAAATTTGCACGGAGCAGATGGTTGACGCAAAATAAAGAAACGAATTTATTCTCGTCTCTAAACCGAAGAGCGAGTAGAGGGACTAACCTCGAGCTTAACCCGTTTCCACAGAGAGTTCCATTCCTGGAACATTCCGTTTATTCGTTTCTGTAAACGTAGTCTTGAACATAGTTGACTCTGCTAGTGTAGTCCTCATTACATTAGCAACTATGATTCTGTTAAGTGATAGAATAGAAAGGTTGCCTTAATATGTTATAGTAGAAATCCGGCAATTCTACGACAAGACAGTTGAAACGCAGGTAAAAACCTTAATTTAATTACTCGTATACTACCAGTAAAAAAAAGAATTATATCTTCACTTTAGAAAAACTTTTTCTGGAAAATATTAAGTATATTGTAATTTTGTAGTGTTTTTCAAGTGATTTAATAATTACAAAAGTAATGTATAATTTAAACTTAAACCAATTTTTTAGTCTTTTAAGAACTTGTTAATAAAAACAACATATATATATATATACAACAACTAAAGAAATGTAATTAATTCGAGCAAAGCACTGAGTTCAAGCTGTGTTGTCGGTAAAGAGATAGAAAGAGAAATACGAGAAAACGGGTGTATATGTTTGCTTGAAAATTCGTATTTCCAAGTCTGTACTTTTTCTTTTGAGGAAGGACGAAGTAAACTGCTGCAAAAGAGTCTGGACTTCGTTTCTAGAAGAAGTCCTTTCAACAGCAATGTGTTTTTAAGTATATATTCCGTAAAAGATATCAATTATCTACGTACGGATGTTTAAAATGGACTTGCGTATATATACATCAAGTACTCTTCAAACTTTTTAGTATTAGTTCTTTTTCTTCTTCAAGTGTTTGTACAAATTAATTAATGATTAAGCTGATTTAATTTCAATTCTCAATTGTGTCACAAAAAATATGACAAATTTGATATTTATTTCTTGTAAATGTTCTCTTTTTTGGAATTGCTTTTATTAGAAATACATAGACGCGAAACTGAATAAATAAACCTCGTTACTTCAGTATGCGAACAATGCTGCGTACTGCTCCAGATATAACTGCATCAATAAACCGATAATACGACTTTATTGCAACACCGTTGGACTCGCGAAGGAATTGCTACGGCATGAATTTACCGCGATCGCGACTATGCGAGTCCGCAGATGGTTCTGTAAGACCGTTTTACACCTTGCAAGACAA